ACAATTCATACTTACCTGGCAGGGGAGACACCATGATCAGGAAGGTGGTTCACCCAGGGTGAGGCTCAACCATTGCACTGCCGGTTGTGCTGACCCCTGCGAATTCCCCAAATGTGGGAATCTCGACTGCATAATTTCTGGTAGTGGGGGACTGCGTTCGCGCTCTCCCCTGATCACATGGTCAAAATTAGAATGAATGTTTGATCAGTGTGTTGTTTCGAATTCCTTACTTATAGATGGGGTGCAAATAACCGGTGTGCTGTGCATGTGCAACCAAATAAAGCTTTTCTATCTGCCAACATAAACATATAGTGTAATCTGCAGCAAATACGTTTTCCAGCAAAATGTGCATCAGTGGGGATTTCTGCTTTTTCTACTCTTTACTTCTGCTCTTTAAAAAGGATATTTTCAATAGCAAACTTTATTTTATTGTTCAGTAAAACAGTGTAATAATACCTTATACTGTAATAGCTATCGTGTGCGTGCGTGCGTGCGTGCATACAGGGGTTGGACAATGAAACTGTAACATTAGCCAACTTGGTGTTGGAGGTTTCATGGCTAATCTTGACCAGCCTGGTGACCAGTCTTTATTGATTGTACATTCCAACAGTAAGAGCAGAGGGTGAAAGATTAATTAGAGTAATTGCACCGTTTTGCTTAAAATATTGCAATGCACACAAAAATTCCATGGCCTGCACAGTCACCATATCCTAATATTATTGATTTAAGAAGATTAAGTCAGGAAATGTTTTTCTCCACCAACATTACATAGTGACCTAGCCACTACTCTGCATTAAGAATGACTCAATCCCTCTGGCCATGGTGCAGGACCTTTCATATCTGTCATTCCCAAGATGAATGAATGCTATATTGGCTGCAAATGAAGGCCCTAGACCAGGTGTGGGCAAACTTGATCCCGGAGGGCCAGTGTCCTGCATAGTTTAGCTCCAACCCTATTCAAACAGACCTCCCTATAGAGTTCAAGTGATCTTGAAGACACTGATTAGTTTGTTCAGGTGTGTTTGACAAGTGTTGGAACAAAACTCTGCAGGGACACCGGCCCTCGAGGATCAAGTTTGCCCATCCCTGCCCTAAACCATACAAATTACTTATAGTGGTCTAAAGCAAGGTGTTTCAGTTTCATTGTTCAACTTCTGTACATGCATGTCTACATGCATGTGTGCAGGGGTTGGACAATGCAAGTCAAGGTTTTTTTTTTTTTTTTTTTTTTTTACAGCTAAATTTGAGCAGCTTGGTGGCAAATTTTTATTGATTGCACATTCTACCAGAAAGAGCAAGGTGTGAAGGTTTAATTAGAATAATAGCACAGTTCTGCTTAAAGTGCAATGCACACAACGTTATGGATGACATTCAAAAGAGGCGCATCTGTCACCAAGATAGCAAGTCTTTGTGATTTATCAAAAGCTACAGTATCCTGGATCTTGTCAGCATACCAACAAGAAAGAAGAACCACATCACACTGGACGCATCACACAGTGTACTCGGAAGCTGTTTGATAGGATGTCTGTTTGCAAACCTGGATTGTATTTAATACTAACTGTTTTACTAATGCTCAACAACTTTGCCTACTGCTCTGCACTTTGCATTCTTTAAAAAAATATATATACTTAACCTATCAACACAGTCCTCAAACAACACAGCTTGTAGATTAACATTGATTCTACAAACTTTCTGGAATATGACTTCGCTAACAAAAGTGGAACTGTCGACTAAACTTCCCACTACCAGCAGCTTACATTCCTGAGACCGAAAAATACAGGTGGCTGAAAATGCCTCTGGTTGGAATTGATTCAGAATCTCCCTGCTGCACAAACTTTTACAGACTTCTACAAAAGACTGCAGTTTTTGAAACAAAATTACTTATGATTCAACCCAAACTGCTGTATCGCACAGGACTGCTTCATTGTGGACCCCCACAGCATGCATCCGGAGAGTCCTGTAAATCTACTCGAGCTACTGTTTCAATCACCAAAAAATGGAATGAACCCGTTAAAAATGAGCATGAAAACGATGGGATAAACAAGATGCAAGACTAAAAGGTACTCCTGGGCTCAGATCACGAGAATCATAAGCTGCTGCCTCCTCTACCCCAAACACAGTACAGACCCCAATACAGCTTCAGAACAGATATGAAGCATTGAGTAATATGGGTGAGGAGACCCCTAGTGCAATTGGATAGTAATGGCATTATTCAGCAACTAATTCTGCATGGAACGGCTCAAGGCCGAGCAGACTGTGACATTCTGCACTGATCGCAGCCGAGGTAAGGATACTGATTGTTGGAGATTTAATAAGCTGGAATTTTAGGAGCAGGGCTACAATGACATACTGCTTCCCTCATGCAACAGTTTCTGATGTAAACAAAAACTTTAACATTTTGATGAAGCGCAAGACCGAAAAACTTATTTTTATCCATGTGGTGAAGAGTGTTGTTTGGAAAGAGCAGTCAGAACTGCTTGAGGGATTACGGTGAACTCTTGGAAACAGTCAGAAGATTGAAGAATCAGCCATTCATCAGGGGACCGCTCCCTGCAAGAGGAACAAATGTTTTCAAAGCTTCTTGATCTAAATGCATGGCTGCAGAGAATATTCAACAGGAAATGAATGAATTTTATTGACAACTTATCTCATCTGGAATTAAAGACAATTGTTTATATCAGATCACCTCCAACCAAACAAACTTGGTGAAAATGTGCTAAAAGGCGATTTCTACTTCTCCCTCCATCATTTATCGACTCTGTGTGCCACTGAATTCAACCTCAGACACACATACCCCTGGTAAATGTCTGAATGATCACAGGGCTTAAATTCAGCTCCTGAGTGGACTGACACTTCCCACAAGGACAGTGATAACACCATGCAGCCACACGGACACACTGCACCTGCTCTCTACACACTGAGCTCTCCATGTATAGACTGTGATGTATCAGAACGGCTTCAAAACTCAGCACTCGTAGATGATCTTCAAAGCCACAGCCTCTGTGACTAGACATGCTCTTCATTTTACCCGCCTCTGACCTTTTGAGCTTCTCAAAGATAATGAAGGAACTGGTGTGGAGCTGCACGATTAATTGAAAGAAGATCTCAATTCGACCCTACACACGATCTTAACTCTGCTTTTCTACGATTCAGGCAATTATATTTACAAGGTCAGGAGAGAAGCGTAAAGGCGGGCATACAAGTTTTTTCATTGTTTTACATACGCTGCTCAGCAACATGGACATCTCCCAATGGAGTCATATACTGGTTTGATGTACACCTTATAAATACAAAATGTCATTTCTGTCTTAATGTAATGTAGTCGCGGCCTCGAAATCACACATGAGCTGATGTTAGGTTTGTTTACCTCACCCACCCGCCCGCCATGTCTACGTTAGTGAACAGAACCTGCTTAGGCTGTGAATAACAGCTTGTTAAAGTTGTAAACAATGTTTAGTTTGTTGCACAGAGCGATCGTTTGAGAGCCACACAGAAGTTTGATTTGAATTTTTTTTCTCAGAGTGACTGCAGACATGACATGAACACACGCGGCAGTGAGACTGCAACTGGTGCACTCACATTTTAGCGTTATGATTAAGACAAGCATTTGATGTGTTTTTTCTTTCATAGTGAACACAGTGTTGTGCATGAAAATTAATGTATACTGGGTCAGTATAACTACTCTAGCTGATATAATGCTCAAAGAATATCTGATAATGACAAATGTCTCATTTTATTTTATTGAAAAAATGGTTAATAATGCTGTCAATGACAAAGGACTAGTGCATGTCTTAAACATAATTTAATTTGAGAATTATGAATAGTTGTATTCTGATGTAATCACTTTTTTTTTTTGTGAATTAACAACTAGGACAATTTTAACGTCTGTTCAAATCCACCATTCCATGTCGTTACAAAATTTAGCATTATAAATAACAGTAGATCTACTCGTAGTAGAGCCTAATTAATTTTAGCCTAATATTATTATTGTGTTACCATATGTTTGAGAAATAGCAACAATAATAGCCTTCTCGTATGAACTTTTATTTTACATCTACAGAATCGTGAGAAAATCGTGATTCTCATTTTAGCCAGAATCGTGCAGCCCTTACCTGGTGTTTGCAGGAACTAAACTCTCACTCTCCAATGCTTCAAGCTCCTAGCTAGCAACCAAAAAGCGGTGAGCTCCACACCCACCTCTGCATTCTCCTTTGAGAGCACTCTAACCTCTGCCACAATGCCAGGGCCCCAACAACTCCCTGTCTTCAGCTGGTGAACACAACAGCTTTAAGTGGTGTGTGTTGGGTGCCCGCTTAAATAACAGTATGTTTACAGAACAAATGGGAACCCAGCGTGCCTGTAGATTTTTCTAGGCAATTATCTGTTTTATTATGTGATAGCCTAAAGCCTGGTTTAGGCTTCTGCGTCAAGTGATTGGCACGACCCACGGCGCATGCAAAGCGAATAGCTGTGGATTCATACCTTTGCGCGCTGTTTCTGTTGCACTGCAATATCACTTCTGAAATGCTAGTTGGCAGTAAGGTGTTAATGTTTCTCTGTGTCGAGTTTCTTCGCTGGTGTTTTGTTTTATCTGAACGCTTCCTTAATGTACAAGTTGCTTAAACTTGCTCATTTTGAGGCAGTGACCGGCGGACCTGCATTATCTAGTTGTATTTTTTTAGTTTGAGTAAAACTTTTGTTCCTTGAATGTAATTTTCATTTTTTTTTTTTTTTTTTTTTTAACCCATTTGTGCTCAAATTTTTCTTAATGGGTTTTATGCATGTAGCCTTGTTAATAGTGTTCTATATTTAACATGTTTCACATTTATTTTCTCCAGGTTTTTTATTTTATTTTATTTTTTTTAGAAAATTGCATTTAAATTTGCGGCAACTATAGTTGCCAGTGGGCAAATGTGTTGTAAGAACCCTTCAATGTAAAATGTGCGAAGGAGGAGAACAATTAGGATTTAAACTCAAAACAACTGCTTTCAACAGATTAATTCATATTCCAAAACACATTTATTGTTTAAAACTAGAAAACCCATTCGATATGAACCTCACTTCATAATTACAGCAGTCAAAGAAAAGAATAACATAAAATTAATACAATGGTGATGTCTAACAAAAGTATTTTTAGTAAATATCTCTGACAGAAATAGCCAAACAAGTTAGTAATAATTGAAGCTGCTGATGCTTTTTGTGGAGTTGGAGCGCTTTAACTCTGCTCCAGTGTTACTTTAATTCTCTTTGTGGAAGTGGGACCAGTGGGAGAATTTTGCTGTGTATCAAAGTCTACTTTAAAGATATCAGTTAAAGTTTAGATGTCGTATTGTGAAAACATAAAAACATTAAACAAGACCAATAACCTTCATTTATTAATTTAACACATTATTTCCCAATTATCTATAATTTATGTTCTTACAAGGCATTTGCCCACCGGCAACTATTGTTGCCACATGAACTTGGAAAAGTATTGAGAAAACTATAGATTTATTGAAAGATTTTAGTTTGCATGAATTTAGAGACCCTCGTGATTATGTTGGTATATATTTGTGAACAAAAATATTTTTTAGTAATATGGAAACTGCTTTTGTTTGGGGGTTTGCCTCCATTTTGCGTCCTTGATTTAGGGGTAGGAAGTTCAGAGCCTCGTGTCACAAATTAAATCAATTCCTTTTTTCTTGAAATATATATATATTTTTTGGTTATTTTGCTTGCTTGTCATCGAGAAACTAATCCTGTTTAACATGTAGAAAATTACTTAAAGGAAAATGGCAACTGAACCTTGAAGACTATAGTTGCAGGGGGCTTGAATGGATTAACACTAGATGGCACTATTTGTTTTTTCTAAAGGCAAGATGGCTAATTTTCTGTTTATTCAAAAAAAAATAATAATTTAACCCTTAGTCTATATAACTTTAGAAAATGAAAGGATTGAGCAATTAATCTGGCATAATTTTGTTATTACTAGGCGCATAGATCACGTTACAAGGACACAATAAAATAGTGTTTGCTGATTTTGTGCAAAATGAGGAGAGCCCATCAATTGTAAAATGACATTATTTAAAGTCTTGTTTTCAATGTAACATTTATTGAAAAAAAAAAAATATATATAAACAGCATTGTACATGTTATAAGAAAATAGTTAATGTATATGAAAATCTTTTTCTTTTTTTTTTAATAGGTGTGCTGGCTATTTGAGGTGAACAGTGTTTGACAGAAAACATCCACAATTTCTTAATATTTAAGTTTGGTCATTTTATAAATGTCAAATTGATTATGCTGTAACAGTTCCAGTGAGTATGCCTCAAAAATATCTGAGCATTGTATATATCTCTCAGTAAAATATGCAAATCAGAGAGAAAGCGAGTTCTTTCTGTCTGATTTATATATTTAAATATCTGTGTGTAATTTGTTTTAGCTCTGCAATGTGTAACATGTTTCACAATGTTCTGTAACTCCATGGCTACAACAGTGTGTAGTCCTGACTTCTAGACCCACACCTTCCCCTTTCCTGCTCCTTTCATAGATCGCTGTCCACAACAGCCTCCTGCCAGACCACAATGCTGGGTAGCTGGAAGGTTCTTGTAGACGGCGCGACTGTATGGGATAAAGCACAGCCCCAGCTGAAGGTGTCGAGCTAGCCGGCAGTACGCAGCCAATGCCAGAACCAGAAGAGGAGTCACTAGCAAGAAACCCACAACCAGCAGAGCCACACAACCCCCGTCAGTCAGCAGGTCCGAGCAGTATGGTATAGAACCATGTGGACGCACCTGAAAAGAGAGAGAGAGAAACATCTGATTGGTGTGGAGCTGTGTGGTGTGAAGGATGAGCACAGGAATACATTCCTGAGGAGGACGCAAGAGAAATGAAGGGTCCCTGAAGGAATGAGTCTCTGACGTGTGGACAGACAGAACCGATACACTGGACAAGAAAGTCTGCTGAAAACTCGCATGCTCAGTTGGTAAGTTTTCAGATGATTTAGGCCAATGTTGATCTGATTCAATACATTTTTATTTTTCATTTTATTTTACTATTCTTTTTAATAGCTACTCTGTACCTAATCATTACCTAAATAAAACACTTCAGGGTGTGTATTATGGTTCTTTGTTAGATCTGGACCACAAAAGAAAATAGATTTAGTCCTGATTCACAGTCCATGCAAATAAAGCAGCGTTTCCATCCAACGAGTCAAAGAGAACAAAATCTTCACTCTGATTAACTAGTGCCAAATATCAACAGTAAAAATGGGATTTGCTGTGGTAGGAGAGGCTGCGTGAACCTTTTTCTCATTTAAGAAATGATTTGTTCCTCAGAAGATGATGCCATCATGTGATGAACGTGTGGTGGCGTTTGAAGACATAAGTGGAGCACATACCCTCTTGACAGTTTTGGAGGTAATTAATAATATAATAATACTAATACTGAGATGGTTAAGGGGTTTTAGAATGACCAAAACAACATTTCAGATGTTTTACAATGTGCTCAGCCTGCTGGTTTGTACATTCACACACATTGTCATCACATGATCTCTAATAACAAAATAGCATGACCTTTTCTTAATGCGCAATGTGCATATTGGAATTTGTTCGGTAGAAGTGTTTCCATCGTAGATTATGCACATCTTTTCTTATTGGGTAAAGTTTATTCTACTCAGTTATGTGCATTTTTTTTATGTGCATTTTCAAAACTTTTGTGCATCTTGGTATTTCCATCAATCGTTTTTTTTATGCACATATCCTAAATGTGCTTAAAAATAGATGGATGGAAAACGTAGCTAGTGACAAACGTCCTGAGCACAGTATTACTTATAATTTAGGTTGAGATCACATTCATGTAATACAAGCATTCGAATTTCTTTGCGTGCCCAAAACTTCTTGCACGCCCTCAAATATACGCTGCTCAAGCACAGATTTTCTTGTGCGCTCTCAAATAAACCCTGCTGAAGTACCATTTAGTGCATTTACGTAGCAAGTATGTCTCCAACATTTATTAGATTTGCTAGGAATATTTATGAATGTTTCCGTTAGACCTACAGAACTAAATTGTGTAATGAAGTAAAGTGAAACAGCCAAAAACTCCAGCAAGATAGTCATTGTATGCAGAACCATAGACCTTTATCGATAAATAAAGCATATCGTATTTTCCGCACTATAGAGCCCACCGTATTATAAGATGCAGTCTCAATTACGGGGTCTATTTCTGTACTTAACCCATACATAAGGCGCACGCTAAAATACAGTCTGCAAAAAAAAGTAATGGAAGCAAAACAGTTACCATAGTTTAGTTGAACTTTATTGTACTATTTAACAATACACTCACATTTTTTTTAATCAGTCTTCTCCCAAAAATCCATCAAAGTCCTCATCTTCTGTGTTTGAATTGAACAGCTGGGCAGTTTCGCCATCAAACACGCCGGGTTCTCTCTCATCATTGTCGGAGTCAGTTTTATTGCCGGGTGGCTGTTCAGCAATGATGCTGGCTTTTGCGAAAGCTCGGACAACAGTTAAAGCAGAAACCTTAGCCCAGGCATCCACAATCCATTGACGTATGGTGGCGTAACCTGCCCGGTGCTGCCTACCAGTCTTAGTAAAAGTGTGTTCGCCGCCTGTCATCCATTGCTCCCATGCTGTCGCAACTTCACTTTAAACCCCTGTTTACACCAATATCCAGCAGTTGTAATTCTTTTGTTAGTCCTCCCGGAATGACAGCAAGCTCCGAATTCATTTGCGTCTTGGTTTTTCACAGTAGCGGTGAGATGGGCAGATCAACAGGAACGGTGATGTGTGGAAAACCATCCGGTCTCTTTACGTACACCTCTCATAGCCAATCATTCATTTTTTCCTCGTCCATCCGCCCCTTTTGATTGGCATTAATGATGACTCCGGCTGGAAACTTTTTTTTTTGGCTGTGTCTTCCTCTTAAAAATGACCATAGGTGGTAGTTTCTGTCCATCACCATGGCAACCAAGAACAACAGTGAAAGCCAACTTCTCATGGCCCGTGGTGCGTATTGATACCGTGCTGGCCCCCTTTTTCTCCACAGTATGGTTCACGGGGATGTCAAAAGGTGAGAGGGACCTCATCCATGTTGGTGATGTGTTTGGGCTGGATCTTTTTGTCGGTAATCTTGTTACTGCAGTAATTGCGGAAGATGGCTTTTCTTTGTAATCCGATGGCAGTTGCTGTGCCACGGTAGTCCGTGCGCAGATAGAGAGATGGCGCTTTTTCATGAAACGAAAGCACCAAGACTGCCCTCCTTGAAAGTGTTCGATCCCCATGTCTTGTGCCATCTTTGTTGCTCTCAGTCGAATGGTGACTGTAGAGACGCTTCTTCCGGCTGTTCTCTGCTCAATAATCCATTGCTCAAGTTAGTCTTCTAACTGTGGCCACCTTGCTTTAGTCCTGTGAAAACTCTGTTTCGTCTTAACTTGGCGCGTGTCATTTTCTTGTTTCCTCCACTTCCGAGTCATAGATTCATTAATGTGGAATTGTTTCGCAGCTGCTATCTCAGCTGCCCATTTACAACCGCGTAACTAATAGCTTGTAGTTTGAATTGTGCCTTGTAAGCATGTCTCTTCACTGGTGCCATTTTCGGGGATCATTAAACAAACATATGTGGTTTTGATTGGTTTATTGCTGCCAGCATACGGAGTGTACATTTTATGCCAGCATACAGAGTGTACGTCCCTGTGTCGGCGGGAAATGCTCCGACAGCCAATCAAGCGGAGCGCTTTCCGAAATCACACAACCAAATTTTTACAGATTTTGCTACTCGGTGCGCACACAAAGCGCACCAGACTTTTAGGCGTACAGCCGTTTTATGATGAAATTTAAGGCTTTTAGGTGCGCCTTATAGTGCGGAAAATACGGTAATTATGGAAACTGTTTATCTTAACTAAAAGCTACATCTAGTTTGTTGGCCTCATGCGTCACGCAGCCCTGTCAGTCAATCAGCATGTAACCTTTAGGCGTTAAACAAATAACGCACTGCACTACTACAATTACAGGGAAACTCACTCTGCTATAATTCTTACATTTTTAATAAGTTTTGGTGCGATTTATAACCCGCTATATAAAACTGTATTCACTGAAGGTTTTGAATAAGAAGCTGTAATGTAGCCTTGGCGGTATGAATTTTCATGTGGTGCCCCACCATGGAAGAATGAATGTAGTGGAAGCAATCATGCTAAGTTACATTTTGTTTGTGTGGCAGATTCACGTACCCATCATCGTCTACTTTATGAATCATTGGAATGGTCTTCTTTTTATCAAAGGAGGAAATCGCATGGATGTTTAATGCTAACAAACTTTTTTTGGTAAGCTGCTTTCTTACATTTTAAATCTTTAGCTTGAAACATTACTATAGTAGATCTCAGTCATTAAATCAGTTAAAAGTTCTTAAAGTTTGTTCAGAGTTTGAAAAATGTACTTTCTCCATTTATGCCCCACAGACTTAGAATGATCTGCTAACTGTAGTTTTTTACTTTTGATATTGCACGTCTTTCATGCGATTTAAACATGTTTGTGTATAAATTTAATTTTCATTTCTGGATGGAAACAGCTAATGATAATCTTCCTGGCTAAATAAATTTTAAATAAAAAATGATGCAAAACAAAAATAAAATGGTCATTTTTTTATTTTTGCAATATACATCTGATATCATATGTATTGTACATATGATAATATTTTTATCAGTTCAGAGTGTCTGCAGGGTATTAAGGTGTTAAGTCAATTTAGAAAAATTGAAGGCCCTTAAAGTATTTAAAGTCCTAAATGCTATATTACAAGGTATTAAATTTGGTATCTGTATGCTAAAGTTTGCCTGAATTTAATCTGTGAATATTGGGATGAAATAAACCGCTTTTCCACTATCGTGCCAAACCGTTCTAAGAACATTTTGGTAAGGTTATGATTGTTTCTCCACTGAGCTTGGAATGGTGCGGCATGATTACAAACCGTTCTCGGCCCGGAATTCTCTGCACAGTTAGACAACCGAGCTGAACTGTGTCGACAGATTCTGTGTTGACGTTGCGGCTCTGTTGCCAAGCTACCACAGCTGGCTCAGTGGAAGCATGCTAGTCATCAGACATTCACAAGTAAAGAACATTACATTTAAATTAAAAAAATGATCCAGGTCTGAACGATACAGTTTAAAAACCACAAAGCAGTCTCTGGCAGAGAAGAGAATAACTCATCACATTCTTACGAATATTAATAAAGTTATTATTTCATTGACTTGAATACAATTAACCATGTATAATATAATTACTAACCTGTTATTTGAAATTTTAGAAATAATAAAATATTTGATTGACACATAGGCAATGACCTTTAATTCGCCTAACTGAGCGCGACGTTATTGCACGCAGCGCTGTATATGATTGCACAAAACTCGCTGTGATCTGGGAGAGAACTTTACCAGCGGCTGCATGCACTGCTGAAAGAGTTGTTTTCCTGCTGCGCATCGAATAAAGCAAATAAAGACACGCTTAACATTATCAATGTCCAAATTCCACAACAGCATTGCTATATCCATGGAACACGAACTTGCAGACTCTTTTAACAACGAGAAAATAATTGCACTTTTTAATTATTAATAATACTTATCAATTTAATACCAGCGAGACCACTGTTAAGGCGTGTTGTATTGTTGGCGGTCCAAAAGTCTACGGTAGAAAGTCAACTTTTTCAATAATTTTTTTTGGGGCTTTGCTTGAAGGCTTTACAGAGTGGCATTGTCCAAGGTACTGTTGTATGATTTATATTATAGTCCATATATGCACTAATAAACTAGTAGAATAAATGAAATTTAAAAAATTAAATGTCAATACTGCTTTTACTCAAAAAATAACACTAGGGTTTGACATGTTTTATAAAAATAATATGGGCCATTTTCATCATTTTAGCTAAATGCTATCATATGATATGAGTTTGACATTTATGGGGGCATGTAACATGTTTCTGTGTTGCTGTTTTTTTGTTCTCTGTGATCTTTAATATAGGTAGCTACGCAAATATTTTCTAAAACGTCAAACAACAATTTGCCTCCAGCTTGGTAGTTAATTATGAAGACAAAAGTAATTAAAATAATAAAAATAAAAAGATAAAAATAAAAAGATAAGAGCAGCATTTTGCTGAACATAATAGTCCTTTATATGCTTTAAATCCTGCTATATATGTGTTGTTTCATATTTGTTTTTTATTTCACTTGCCGCATTCGTTATTTAATGTTTGAATACTAAAACGAATAACAGCCATCGCTTAAATGGTTATATTTTACCATCAAAATGTAGTAAATTTTATATCATTATCAACTTTTGATATAAAACCGCTGTGTAACTTAATTGATTGTTAAAAATGAAATAATTTAATTGCTTTATTTTTTCTAGGTAAAGTACCCACTCACTTTTGACAAGGCCTGTCCAAAAATATAGATTTTTCTATAATACAAATGCACTATCATTGTTTATTTTTTTTGTTATGATTAGAGATTTTAAATATATTATTTATTTCCCCTCCAATCATTTTCAATCATCACGTTACATGTTGGTCATTTTCCCTCCAAATAAAATTTAGCCAGAGCCGCACAACATATGACCTCTATATAAATAAGGTGCTGTGACGTGTACCTATATTTAGCCACCCCTATTTAATAGAGCGGCATAACATTTAGTCACGCCGTGCTTTCGTTTTTATGAACATGAAAAAAAATTTGTTTTGGCTATCATTTACGTTTAATTGAACAAAGGGAGCTGTTTACATTGCATTACGAAGGCAACTACTGATGCATTTTGTGTAATGTTTTAAAGAGCTTTGTTGCAGCATGACAGTTGAAAATGAAACCGTATCTGTGCTGTCTGGCATGGAATGGAATGGTTCACAGTTATTCCTGCTGTTTTAGGCGCTGTTTATTCACTATGTGAAAAACGTTATAGTTTAGAATTAATTTCTTACAATCAGTATTTAGTAAACATAATAAGTTAAAACGTCGTCAATGTTGCCGGTCGAAACCTTAAGTGGCGATGAGGTCCTAAAATGTATAGAAAGAGTCAAAAAAGCTCTTAAAAGGTATTGAATTGCTGATTTCTATATATACCCTGCAGTTGATAACTGGTGAAGCATTTAAAAAGACAAAACAGTGCCAGGCAGTAATTCCTGTGTTACACTCTCTAATGAAGAATCAAAGAGAATGTTTCTGATGCTTATAATTGACTATATAGTTACTTAAACTAAAAACAGCACATGAGGTCACATGATGTGACCCTGAGGACAGTAGTCTTGTTAAAGATGTATTTGGCCCATGTTACATTTACATTTCAGGCATCCAAGTTTGTTTGAAGGTGGGTTGGAACTGTCTTTTAGGGTTTTATTCTTGTAAGCTTTTACACTTATTTCAATATACTACACTAAATGTTAGAGAGTTTATCTTAATCAAACCTAAACTGACTCTTTTGAGCACACACTCTGAACTGAATTGGCTTTTTCCATTTTATTCTTGTACTGCAGTATTAGTATATGCCTATTGCTTTGAGACATGAAGTTTTATTTCTTTAGTTAAGTGGCACTGCACAAGAGGAAAGAAATTGAGGGGGGAGACCCCCACATTCTTCATTTATCCCCTGTGAGATGAAGGGAAGGAGAGTGAAGCAGCAAAAAGGGTGACTGAATAAACAGAGTAGGAGGGAGAAACTGATAAAGGCCATCTGCGTTTTGAGCTGCACTTTCTCAATCTGACAGGTTTCTTCACTCAAGGGCATGCTTGTAAAACCACAAAAAAGCAATCTTGAAAAGTTGTAGTTAGACTGTGACCAATACATTTAATTGTGAAAGCTGCATCTGTGAAAAGGAAACCAGTTTATTACTGTGTACAAACTGAGTAATTTTACATTCAGAAGTTAATTTATTTGCAGATGCTCCCACGAAACAGTATTTTATTGGTGCATATAGTGTTGAATGACCCAAGTTTTAAAATCAAAGTTGGTCGGACATAGTAATGCATTAGTCATCTATAAAAAATATTTTAGTTAGCTTTTTATCAGGCTTGTATCAAATTTTAAAATATGATTAGTGAAGGGTTGAATGGTGTGACGCAATAAAATTGTAAGTCATCTCAATGCTGCATTTCACCTTTAACATGTCTACGGTAAGAGGAATTCCAGCTGTCTATATATCTGTTGTCAGTTACTGATAAAACTAGAGCTCAATGGAGTAGTTTCAGGGAATTGATGTTTTATATAAACTTGAAACAGACCATTTGTTTAAAAAGGCCCATATTGTGCAGTGAAATATATAAAAATATATTTTATTTATTTATTTATTTATTTATTTATTTTGAAGCTTTAGTCTTTATGCTTAAACCTTTTTAAAAATTTGGTTCATTTTATGGCAGGGCAGATAATCAATATTATGTTCAATCGCAATAAAAATTAGTCTAACTATGATAAGCTCTGCACTTTTTTTACTCTGTTGATCTAAGAGCCAATCACACAGCAGAAATGTGCATCAATGGGAATCTATAAGTGTGTTGATATTAGAGATGTATCAAATTTTTGGCCACCGAAAATGTATTGTCCAAAAATGTATATCTTAATTTTTGTGGCTTCAGTCATTGTTGGGTTACTCATAAATCTGGAAGTATTAGCAACTAGTATCAAAAAATATATGGTTATCGTTCAATATGGAAAATAATTATTGAGATTGCATTTTTGCCATATTGTCCAGCCCTGTGTCATTTGACAATTTCCCTAGAGTAAAAATAATGGTGAGCTTTATCTTCTGTTTTTTTTTTTAATCCATAGAACTGATCTCAGGTTCTGGCAAGACTTTTAGCTTAGCATAAATTATTGAATTAGACTATTAGATTCTCAATCAAAAATGACCAGAGTTTTTATTATGTTTCTATAAATGTTTCTGCATTTATAATGTCTACTTAGACCAGGCGTGTCCAAACTACGGCCCGCGGGCCATCTACGGCCCGCAATCAGTTTTGTGGCGGCCCGCGAGGCTTTTTATAAATATCAATAGAATCTGGCCCGCTATACAAAAATGAACGCAATTCAATAAATAACCACCGGGTGTCGCTATTACATGCATTCAATTAAGCAGCAGTTCTTGTTATGATCTATCTATCTATCTATCTATCTATCTATCTATCTATCTATCTATCTATCTATCTATCTATCTATCTATCTATCTATCTACACACAGTTGAAGTCTGAATTATTAGCCCCTCTTTGATTTATTTCTTCTTTTTTAAATATTTCCCAAATGATGTTTAACAGAGCAAGGACATTTTCACAGTATGTCTGATAATATTTTTTCTTCTAGAGAAAGACTTATTTGTTGTATTTCGGCTAGAATAAAAGCGGTTTCAATTTTTTTATGAACCATTTAAGGTCAAAATTATTAGCCCCTTAAGTCTTTAGAACAAACCATTGTAATAAAATAACTTGCCTAATTACCTTAACTTGTAACTTGATTAACCTAGTTAAGCCTTTAAATGTCACTTTAAGCTGTATAGAAGTGTCTTAAAAATATCTAGTCAAATATTATTTACTGTCATCATGGCAAATATAAAATAAATCAGTTATTAGAAATGAGTTACTAAAACTAATATGTTTAGAAATGTGTGGAAAAAAATCTTCTCTCTGTTAAACAGAAATTGGGGAAAAAATAAACGGGGGCTAACAATTCTGACTTCAACTGTGTATATGTATGTATATATATATATATATATATATATATATATATATATATATATATATATATATATATATGCGTGTCTGTGTGACGTGTGTAAAATTTGGCCCGCGACAAGGTTGTTTTTTTTTGCATCTGGCCCTCGGCCCAAAAAGTTTGGACACCCCTGACTTAGACCAACAAAAATAAAAAGTTGCTTTTTTTTTTAGGTTGATATGTATAGGAACTATACTCTCATTCCAGCGTAGTAATCAAGGAACTTTGCTGCCTTACCATGGGTGCAGCAGACACGATATTATGCAGTTCCTGAAAATAGTCCTCAGCTAGGTAACTTCCAACTTGATCAGCTCTTTGTGCAAGCAGATCAGCAATCAGAAACTCAACCTTTTAACTCTAAGGGAGTTGTAAAACTTGCCTTAAAAAACCTGACTAGTTATAAATGTGCATATTTTAATCCATGTTCACAATGATTTTTAACCATAAGAATTTATGTACATCATAACTATGTTGGGTGATATCTCAGGACATTACATGGTGGTCTGTTTTTTCAGGTCTTTGGATTTAGGCTACCTCTCTTTTCTATCTGGTGTCACATGGGCACTAATTGGTCCAAGTGGTGATTGATCTTGGACCTTTTAGGTCTGGAAATGTGAGAGGTTGGAATTCAGAATTCAGCCTTTATTTACACACCATGACCCTTTCTGACCTATGGGCGTTATGTGGCGATAGCTTAAGCGTTTATCTTCCAGCAAGAGATGAAGGGCTTGTACCTTACAGAAACAAGTCTGCTAATTCTGTAGTGGTGTGTGGGAGAGATTGCTTTTCACTTGAAGTGGGCTTTTTTGATGGAAATGGAGGGCTGGAATTGTGGAGAAGCAGTGGATCTACTCTTCTGGGGGTCAAGGTGCATGAATGCTTAGGCAAGGACTGTGATTCTTCAACTTTTTTTGAGAAGTTTTTTTCTAGTTACCCTCTCTTGTTCTAAAATACTTCTCATCTGACGTCACCCTCCAACTCCTGACCTGCTCCTGCTAATACTCCTGCACTCAAACTGCTGAGAAATGCCCAAGATTAAGAGATTATGTGGTGAATCAAAGAGAAACACAGGTCAGACCCCCATAAATCCCTAAAAGAATATCGGAATCATGATGAGCTTTTATTATAAGTCTTTTTCCCATATTATAAAGAACATTCCTTTAGTGCAGTCTGGGACCAGACTTTTAATATGTATAAATGCTTAATATTACATGGCTTTTATTTAATGACTCAACTATTGCATGGGCTATTTTTCTGTTTTACTTCACAATATTTTTATAGGAAAGAAAACAAACTACAATAATTGAAAAATTCCGTCTTCTCAGACACTAATTAATATTAGCTTGTGGTTTTGTAGACATTTGTTTAGACTTTTTATTTCTAATTTGGACAGTATCTTGATTTGAGTGTTAGTTTTTTTACTTTGTGCTTTTTCTATAATTTATTTGAACTCTTTTTGCAGTGGAGTTAATATAAAGTGTTGTTATTGATAATATAATATATATTATTATAAATTATCCAAATATTAGTCAAATAAGTCAATGCAAAGACACAAATGGACGTCCTGCGGCATAATTTGCGTAAATAAGGTGTTGCAAATGAGGTGGCGTGAATTGAGCATTTTGCTCGAGTTGGAAAATCTGGACTTTGGCCGATATTTGTGCTGCATTAACCAATCAGGAGCTTGCTCATGCGATTTATGATGTTGCGCCTGCAGTTCCCTTTCCCGAGGGTAAATCCTCCTGCCAACACCGGAGTGCAGCAGCTTAGTTTGAAGCACTGCTGAATGCTTCCATAATCAAGGTAATAGTTTCTGGAGGAGTCGCAGAGCTTGGTACATCTCTGAAAGGAGTCTTGTGCACTCAGACACTGCGCCGAACGAATATACGCTGTTTTCAGCATTCTTAAAGCACATAAAGCACAGCTACTCTTTCAATTTAATCTATGTTTGCCATTTTGCAATGAAGCTAGAGTCACCAGGCAGACAGAAGCCCTGGCCAAGACGTGAATTCATGTTTATTGTGAAGTAAATTTCACGCACAAATGAAGCGAAGATGTGCAAACGAAGCAAGTAAACTGAATGTTAACACACTTTGTTTACTCTCGAATAGAGTGATTTATTCGTGCATGCTGCATCTGTTGTGAACACACCACCACAAACCATACATCAGTGCTTATGAAAGCTTATATAGATTCAGATTTCAGTTGACATAAAGCTTTGTTTATAAAAAATTTCCACTTATGAATAAGTTGTGGTCCAGGGTAACTGCGAATTGCATGTTACTTGTTGTGTCCAAAATGATTTGTTGTTTACAGCATTTTCTTAAATTGTGCATGTTGTTTATAATTTGGTATCTTATAACCAGTTTTTCTCAGCTCTTACCGTTGAATGACAGAGAAAGCCGAACACCACCATGACGATAGCAGGAGTGAGGATTAGCCCGAAGACCAGTCCAGCCAGGCAAGCATTGATGGCGGCGATCAGCAGGTTTTGTGCAGTGACCAGCACCGAACAGGCCCAGCAGTCCAAAGAGCCCCGCAGCTCCAGCGGCGCTTCACTTCCGCCAGCCTCTGGGGAGTAAGGTGGAGGCACGACCACTGCAGAACCACCTACTGCAGTCCCGGCTGGCAGGGTTGAGGCCAAAGAGTTGGTATGCTGGAGATTGGGGTGATGGTGCTGGTGGTGATGACTGATGCTTGGGAGCTCTTCAGAGAGGTCGATGGTCTGGTGATGAGCCCCCTTCTCCAGCGTGTCGTTCATACTCATCCTGATCTGAAAATGGTAAAGATTGAATTATTGAATCATTTTAAAAGATGAAAAGTGTTCAGTTAATGGGTTTGATGCTTTCATTCAAAAGAATATGTAACTATTGATTCGATAAATTGGATCATAAATTGGGGTTTCAGTGTCTTTTGTACTAAGTGCCAATGTCAGGTATCTGTTGAAAACCATTTAATAACTTTGTTTTGACCTTAAAAGTGTAAGATGCTGATCTATTATTTACAGCTTACTTGTTTCGCCTGAATAATTTGCAATTTTATTTCTGTTCTTTGTTTTTTTTTTGTTGTTTTTTTTTTTTAAATACAGTGGTAATATTACTACTCTAAAAAGCACTGTTGGGTTTTTGTAATCTATTGCTAAAAACACTAGATCACAAATTTATTTACTACAAGTTTTAACAACCATCAAATTTTAACAATGACTCGCATTTTAATGTCGGTACAATTCTTATAACAAACCTATATGTATATATATTATATAGCGGTAAATTGCATGCTAGGCTGCTTTTTTGTTTGAATGGGTTTTTAAAAGAACTATTTTACTTAGTTATTTTTACTTTAAATAAACAACATCCTTTTCCACTATTAAAAACTAATGTTTTGTGGGATGTTTATTTTAGTGATAAATTTTTTTATAATCAGGGTGTCCGCGGAGTCTTAAAATCTTGATGTCTTAAAGCTCAAAAAAATAAGTTTTAGGCCTTAAAGTCTTAAATCTACCAATTCTACCAATCTACCAAAGGAAACAAAGGAGAATTAATACTTGATAAAAAGATTTAAGACCTACAACACTGTTTTTTTTTTAACTGGTCTTAACTTTTCTTTGTTTACTTTGTACAGCTACCCAATCTGGCCAACACCCATGCAATCACTAACAATCCATCTCTATAAAACATTTAATTTACATTTTTTAAACAATTTACCATGATTACTTTCCTTATAGTAACATTTGTTGTTGTCTTCATTTATTTACTGCTGAGGATACTGATGTGACCCATGTTGTTGTTGTTGTTGTTGTTGTTGTTGTTATTAATGGGTCATGAAACCCCCCTTTTTCGGTTCATGTCTACCTAAGATTTTTTCGAAAAATGCTTCATAATGGAGGATTTTAAACATAGGCGTACACAGCATTACGGATATAGGCTGTGTCTGAATGGTAACAAATTGAACTGATAAAAGATAAATTCCAGCTCTCTCGACAAAAATGCTTGCTGCAAACCAACAGCTTTGATGTATCAGTGGCTCTGACAGCATCACAGGTTAAATACATGCAACAAACTCCATAAATCTTGGAAACAAACACATTCGACCCATGTCGTGCTCTTAAAGCTTGGCAGGTCTATTTTTTTCCAACTGGAATATTTGGAGAAAATCCTAATCATTTAGCCCTGTATACGTCTAAAATATCATTCATAATGCTCTAAAATGTCTTAAGCTCTTAAATTTAACGTGGTAAACCCTGCAGAAACCCTGATAATACATGTAGGTAACCCTCTCGACCCTTCAACATAGTTGTCCCCAGTTTTAAATTAATATCAGTAAACTAGTCTTTATCTAACGTTAAAGTTATTCATATTTGAAAAGACCATATATAAGGCTTTCATCACAGTCCTCCTAAAATCTGAACTGAAACACTGCTGTCAACACTCTAAAAAATGTGATGCTGATCTTTGCTGATAATTTTGGCTCTACTACGCTACCCTTAGAGCATATAAATTTTAATCCTCTTCAGCAGTTGTTTAAAAACCTCAGGTTTGTTATATTACATTTTGTCATGGTAAATTAGACTTATGGTTTGGGCTTTGCTAACCGCTCTGTAAAAGTTCACAGTGAGGTTAAATTGCTTATCACCAGGAAACTGGACTTGTGTGATCTTTTAATTAGGTCTTTTATCAAAGATTGATGGTAATCTGAAAGCTAATTGTCCAGTTGTGGCGGAATTACTAATTGGTATTTGAGTGTGTTTGGATTTACAGCGGTGATACGATCAAGTGATGAAAAGTGAGTTCGTGACACAGCAGTAACCCTAAACTCTGGAGATTTGATCACTTCTGTACAGGCATAAACAAAGCTCAGTCTTACAGAATTTTGGGCTGTTTCTCCTACTAAAAAAAGGTCTGAATTTTTATCACAATCAGGAGTTTATACCCCTTGTTAATAACTTTGACATGGTGTCTTTGTTATTGCATCTTTTCTACAATATGTTTATATTGTGTGTGTGTATATACTTTCTCTCTCTCTCTCTCTCTCTCTCTCTCTCTCTCTCTCTTCTCTATTATATGTATATTTGATATTTTTGGTATTTATGTTATGGAGTGTTCAGTGTAAAACCAGAGGTCTTTTATTTTGAATTAATTACCATTACGGATATAAACAGACACAGAAGATCGCACATGATCACGGCGTCCCAGCTGTGCGGTCTGCTATGGACTAAAGGTTTAGCTTCTGGTTTGATTGGAGAACAAGGTACTGACACTTCGTTTAATATGTTTGTTTGTTTGTATCGAGTTTGTATATTGAGTTTAAGTGATGTCTGTTTGTTTGTATATGGTTTTCATATTTGCTTAAATTTGGTTTCATTTTCTCTTTGTATACAAGCTCTTACAGTGTTTGCCGTACGGTACAAGGTGTACGGTGTTTGGCCTATGGTATAAGGTGTTTGATGTTGACGACGGAGTCAGTGAAGTGAATGCTGCACTGAAATAAATCATGGGAAAACATCAGTGAAAGAGTCAATCCTTTATTGAACCAGGGAGCTACACCCCTCAATTCAGTTTGTTTAACCACAGGATTCTGTGATTTACTAGTTTTATGACAGATTTGTTTTTTTCTGATTAGACTTTTACTTGCATAATTTAAAGTTATAAGGGGCATTCTACCAGAAACACACATTATCTGTCCCTAAAATGAAAATGTAAATACAGTGACTATTTCATCCCAAAAATGCCCAGGAAGGACTGATGGTTAGTTTCTGAGTTCATCTCTAAAGGAATTTATCATTAATTTGATTCTAAGATTTTTTTTTTCTTTATTAAATACACTTTACAAACCTTTTCCTTGTCCTCAGACCAATTGAACCCACAGGTTTAATAGTTTTGTTTTGCTAAAAACTGTTGTTTAGACCCCCTGCTATTTAGAACATTGGTTTTCGATTATGGAGACTGGGGATTTTGCAATTAGATGAGCCTTTAAAGGTCAGGCCCAGTCACAATTTTTATTTATTTATTTTTTTTTTTTGTGAAAATGTACGGTTCTTGTAGAATGTCCCACAAAGACTAGTTCTGACTAGTAACCTGACCAGTGACCACTTTCATATATCTCGCAATTCCAACTTTATAACTTGCAGTTCTTATTTATTTATTTTTTTCAAAACTGCCATTTTATCCTTGGTTTGGGTTGTGACAGAAAAGTCCCAGTTATCTTTATATAACAACCTTGTATAGATTCTTACAAAGAACATATCAATGTTAAATTTCATGCAGATTAAAAATTGCAAATATAATTTTGTTATATATAAAAACATTATACAGATTAAAATAGAGGTTTACAGTTCTTTGCTGAACCATTGATGCTTGTAATAAACCTTTATTTCATATTTTCTCCAATTATAATAAAGCACAATTTTCCTACAATCCATCGGATTTCACTTTTTAATTTGTTCATATTCTCCTTTATACATTTTCCAAATCATGTGAGGACACAATCATTGTAATGCCAAACATCACACTATAAAAGATTATTGGCGTGTTCAGAGATATCTTCAGTGCATATACACAGCATAGTTTAGCCTGGCTTTATAAGCAGTGTTGTGTAGCAGAATTAGATCTGAAATAGTCGATTTTTGCTGGACTTTTGTTTTTCCCTTGTGAAATTCAAACCAGTTTTTTCTTTTCTGCTCCTATAGAGTGCTGGAAAAAAAGGTGCCCTTCCCCCAGCCCAGGTTAGACGTTAGGCTGACCATCCAGAGAGGGCTCCAGAACAATAGGCAGAGGTCAAACTACGTAAATACTTTACACGCCAGACAGCTGTGGCTGCAGTGCTATAAGATAATCATCTAAAAATGGATACAGGATGGCCTCCATTTTATACACACACACACACACACACACACATGCATACATTAAACACTCCTGAGCATGCCATGGGTGATGCATGATGAGGGTGACAGGCACACGTTTGTACACTCTCTGACCGTTGTGCTGTCTTCCTGTCTTTGTATTCTGTTTGTTAGCGCCAATATGGCAGGTGACTCAACATATAACAAACACTAGATCACCACTAACAGGAAATGAGCACACTATGCCAAACCTGTAGAATGACTGACCACTCCACCCGCTAACACTATTTCCACTTTTCTGAGAATAAATTTAGAGCTAAAACTTGGAAATGGTGTAATCATCCATGTTTTTCTTAATAATTGATCATGTGGGTTTTACATTGCTGTTTGTTTATGAGGGCATACTACACACTGTTTTCAACAAAACAGAAAACTAAACATGTATGTATTTTTGACATTCAGTGTTCATTTCAGCATTCAGTGTTTTTGGGGCCTGAAATGCAATTTTTTGAATGGAAACTACGTTTGCATTGCAGAGTTTTGTTTTTGCACTTTAAAATTAAAGTAAATGTATACATTTTATTTTCAATTTTTAACGAATGTGATTTAATATTTTGAGGCTACTGTTTTAACAAGAAATAGTTTTGAAATGGCTTGTTATTGACAGATGGTTTCTTAAAGAACCTCCAATGGACACCCAAAGAAACTTTTCATCCAAATAATTTCTAAAGAATAAGAAACAAAATAAACTTAAGATTTTTATGGTTTCTAAACATTCTTACTTTTTTTTTTTTTTTTTTTTTTTTTACTAACAAGAGCATTTTTAAAACCTAGTTCTTTCTCTAAAACTTAAATGATTAAGAATAGAAAACTTTAGTGTTTAGAGTAACATTTCATAAGTGTTTTTGTTTATTGGAAGTAACATTGATTTTTAGTTCTATAGGTTTTAGGTTTAAATTCAGCACATCACATCTTAGATTGATTTAAATTGCAATGACATTTGATCACTATGTATTTTAGCTTGAAGTGATGTAGACATAAAGGATGAATAGGAGTATACATATATTTATTTTTAAATCGCTTGTAAATGTAACAATATATTAACAATCAAACAGAAAAAATAAGTACTCAATGTTTTAAATGTATATTGCTCTTTTTTTTTTGTTTGTCAATTTTATTTAATATTTTTCCCCAAACATAATAATTTGGTTGTAATAATTATGGACTGAGCTTAAGTTTTTTTTTTTTTTTTTTTTTTTTTCAGTTTCTAGAAATGTATTTGTATGTGTATGCAGTGTTGGGGGTAACCCATTACAAGTAACGCAAGTTATGTAATAATTACTTTTCTAAGGAACAATGAAAGTAATGCATTACTTGTGTTACGTTAAAAAAGTAATAATATATTATTATTACAATTATTACAATGAGTTCTTTTTAGTTGAATTAAATGACTTTTAAAAAATAAATTGCTGAATTAAAATTAAAGTAGTCTGTATATGGCATCCATAGCACTGAGGTCAGGAAGTTCTCGGATAACATTATCCTAATTTTTTTTTTATATATAATGAAGGTGTAGGTTATTGTTAATTGCAGTGCCCCTTTATTAAAAAAAAAAAAAAGTTCTGAAAGAGATTAAGCCTCAGCCAGTTAATAAAAAGTAATGCAAAAGTAACTCAATATTGTAATGCATTACTTTCTTGTAATTTTCCCCCAATACTGAGTGTATGTATATACATATAACCCTGGACCATAATGTTGCACAGGTACAATATATTTGTAGCAATAGTAACAAATACATTGTATGGGTTAATAATTTACGTTTGTGTTTCATTTATACCAAAAATCGTGTTACATGAAGAAATTTTGTAAATATCCTATTTTTTTATTGAATAAATATAACAAACATCCCATTGTTGAGCTTTTTTAAAAAATGGCTTTAAAATTTAGATAAATAAGCAAGTTGCAGATGATCAAAAAAGCTTAAGGAAAAATTGTCCTATCCTATCAAACCATATCAACGAAAAGCTCATTAGTTCGGCTTGTAAAATCTATCTCACCCGTATGATTGTTTTTGTGATTCAGGGTCACAATTCAAAATGTATGTGTACCTATACAAATGAAGTATTTAATTAGATGTGTCAGACATGCGCACTGCTGCTGAAATACAGTTCTGTAAATTCAAGTTAAAAGAGCAAACACAAATTCATGCATGTGTAAATTCCAAACCTTTCCCTGCTGTAGCCCTTGATAGGTCAGTCTCATTCACCTTCAGTCTCAATTCCTGCAGAGCAGCAGCACTCCAGCAGTCTTCTTCTTTCTCTCTAACACAACATACAATACACTTTCAGTTTAGGGTCCTCTCTGAAACTACTGTCCTCGTTGGCTGATCCTTGCTCTCGTTTAAGTTCTCAGCAGTGCAGTTGGTTTGAGCTCAGACTGAGATATGGATGTGTTACTGCCAGGCTGTTTTAGCAGTACCTCTCTGTGTGCCTCCCTCATGCCTCCTCCCCTTTCCCTTGCCCTACTCTTCTTTATCCTTTGTGTGGGGGAAGGCATGTTTATTTAAAGAGTTGAAGTGAAGACTTTAATTTCTCCTGATGGATAGAGAAGAACATGAAACCCTCACATTTACACCACTCCTTCCACATCCGTGGTGCTTCAACTGTAAACCGCTCAGACCAGACGGTGGCGAGTGTTTGTTTTCCTCCATTCTTGGTTGGTTTACTTGATATTGCTCTCTCCAAGGATTCTGGGCTTAAACTCATGTTATCCATCATCCACCCACAACAAAACTCTTATGCAACTATCAGTTTTTAGGGAAGTCAGCCAACGCGAACAGTTTTTCTTAGAGGTTTTGACTTGTTTTTGCATTAAGTTCTGACATCACATTTGACTTTGTGATGGTCACTACTAGCTACATTTCCATCCACCTATTTTTATGGACAATTTGCATATGGTAAAAAAAATGCTTGATGGAAACTCCAAGATGAGCATACATTTTTAAAATGTGCATAAAAATGTTGTGCGCATAATGGAGTAGGATAAACTTTTTATTCGATAAGATGCTCATACTATTATGGAAACACTTTTATATTCCAGTATGCGCTATTGTTCTCGTGATAGCATTGATTCACATTACGACACTATAGTATCGTGATACCAAGTAGTATTGCGATACTGTAATTCATAACTCAAATCTATGAAAAAAAGGAAATTGTCAAAATACTATATTTTGTTATAGACCTGCTCGAATTGAATTCATAATTCCCTTTAGTTTGTATCTGACTAACAATAAAATACATTAAAGATACAAATTATATAGTATAAAATACGTTTCAAAAAGAGCTTTTTGACAACAAAATTTGGCAATATGAAGTGATCAAATAGTTAGAATGTTTCCTGTTTTTCATCTGTTTTTTTTTTTCTTTCTCGTGGGTAGGGATCTAAATTAATTCAAAATTTCACTTTGTAAACTGTTCTTTTTAAAAGATTGTTGCATTTTTGTAGCTACTAAATCATATTGACCGGAACATAAATGAACTGATTCAGATGTGTGTTCGAACTATAGCGTCAGAAAATGTGCAATAGGCTAAAGGTGTGAATTCTATACAGCTTTGCAACCTTAAAGGGCTTGACAGACTATTGTTATGTATTTCCTTTATTTATTAAATATTATATCTCTCAAGTAGTGAGTTTTTCTCTCCGCCTCTGTCTCTCTGACAGGTTTCATCATCACCACAAAGGTGCAGTGAATCAGGTGCCAGCACCTGATGGCGGCTTGCCGGCTTGTTTGTGAAGACAATTTTAACTGGAATGGAACGTTGTTCGGAGAGCCTCCTCTCTCCTGGCTTGTTTATTTTGTGAAGTAAAAACTGTGTTGTATTTACTCGCGAAATTGTTGAAAGTGAATGCTGAGTGTTGAATTTGAGATATATTCAGAGCCAGTGTGCTGAGGACAGTGCCTTTTTTGTTTTATTACATTTTCTCATGTTTTTTGGTCAGGAAGGTAAGTGAATTTTATTAAGTTTATTGTGCTAGTAAGGGGGTTAAAATGTTATTAGTTGTTTTTTTTGTTGTTGTTGTTATTTTGGCATTTACCTCTCCAATTTCCTTTGAAGTTAAACGGCAAATAAATTTGACTTATTTCTTTGCTCAATCATCTTTGTTGTTGTTTTTCCTTTTGAACAGGAGTTAAGACTCTGGGCTCCTCACTAATTTAGAGGTATCCTAATTATTTTATTTTAATTTGTTTTCTGGCTTGCTGTGTGGAGCCATGCAAAGTTAGAATTCATAACATTATTCAAATAAAATGGTCTATTGTTGCACAAACATGCGAGCGTTTTAAGACTTTTCCCACATGCAACATGATATATTGTAGATGGATCGTTAATGATGATATTGCCGTTAACAAAGTACAGTGGCACCGCCATAGTATTGCGATAATTCCATAGTACTGGTAAACTGTGCAACCCTAGTATGCACATTAAAATAGTCATTTGGTTTTGAACTTGTGTGAATGGATAAACAAGCAGGACGACCACATTGTAAAACATCCGAAATGTTTTGGTCTTCCTAAAATGCCTTAACTGTTATTATATTATTAATGGTCTCCAGAATCAAAAGCACTTGTGCTTTGCGTCTTGCGCCTTCAAATGCCACCGCGAGTTCATTGCGTGTCAGTGTTGTCTTCTGAGGCGCAAGTCATCTATTAAATGAAGAAAAGATTCACGCAGCTTCTCCTACCGCAGCAAATTACATTTTTACTGTTGATATTTTTGTGCCAGTTATTCAGGAAGTGTCCTTGGATGGAAACGCTGCTTTATTCGCACAGCTGAGCTGAAGATTTTACTATTCCCTCTATAATACAACAAAATAGTGATTAAATTGAATAATTAAATGTAAACTTTCAGACGTGATCATCTGAAATTTCACTAATATGAGGGTTTAAGTTTGAGCTGCGCATGGGAAGGGATTACAAACATCTGATAGGAAGGAGAGATGGGGAGATGTGAAAGGAGGATGGAGGGGAGAAACATGATGAAAAGGCTATCTGAAAGCACAGAGGGAGCGGCTGGGCATGGGAGGAATAGAGTAAATGTTGGGTTGTGTAACTGATAACAGAATAACCATCTGCAGCAGAAATCACAGGCAGATCAATCGATTTGTCAGACGCAGTGATGCTTTCTTCTGACAATATTTGTTTACTGTTTCTCACCCATGGGATTCCTGATCTCTCAATAGAGGGCGTTCAAGCCTTTTTCTTTTTTTCTTCATTTTGATCTAACCTATGTTAAAGTGGAATATGTATGAACACTTCAAAGGGATAGTTAAACCAGAAATCAATGTCAGCATTTATTCACCCTTTATTTGTATCAAACCATTTAAAATTTGTTTTGCTCTATTGAAAAAAACAAACCAAAAGATGATATTTTAGAAGAATGCTGCAAACCTGTAACCATTAACATCTGTAGTAGGAAAAGCAAAGACTACGGAGTTTATTTATTTGACATGGACATCACAATTACACTGGATAACCCAATGTATTTTAAGTGTTTAGCAGACTTGCTAATTCTTAAGACCTGTCTAAGGAGGCTTGACCTAAAATGAAAATAAAATAGATACATATACACTATTATACTGTTATAATCTTTACATCAAATTGCTGTAAGGCAAAGGCAGCATGACCAAACAAACTAATAGTAAACTATTTGTGCTAACACTGCTGTTTTGTTTTTAACTTTTTAAGAACACTACTAAAAACTTGTATATAGCTTTCTAATTTTAGGCTTACGGGTAAATCATTTCACAAGTTGGTTCTGTTAATAGAGAAAACAGATTGACCAAAAGAGGTCTTACACTTTGGTACAAGACAGTCACCATTAGCATTTGCTTGTGTGACTCGGAGAGGATTGATGCCTACTGATTCGATCTGAAAACAGTACTGGATCATGATTAAACAATTTAAAACCAATTTAAGATAACTGAATTTAACAACACTCTCAAAATTAAACGTGTTATAACTACATAAAACCTCACAATGATGCCATTGCATAGGCTTTCAGTCCATCATTTTGACTGCTTGTTAATATATCAATAGGCTTCAATGTGGTTAAAGAGGCTTGTAACCCTGATGTAATGCAATATGTCAAGCGAGAGGGTATAATTGTGTGCATGGTCAACTTTGACATGTTAAATATCTTCTAATAAAATGAAAACAGTCTTGGCTTGACCTTCTTACACATTTTAAACATCAAATGTTTAAATAATAGCCCCTTTCACACATCCAGACCTTTTTGGAAAAATACCAGCAATTTTGCAGAAAGGTTTGTATGTGTGAACAGGCCCTTTTAAAAAATATCGGTAAATTAGTTCTGGCAATTTTCCGGAAAGAAAAGTTGTAACATTACCAGTAATTTGCCAGAATGCTGCGATGTGTGAATGCAGAAGGAGGATTGCCGGAAAGAGCGGGTTCGCGTCTAAAACGCGTTGATGTGAGACGTGTACTTTAGCCAATCTGAACACTCAGACGCATTCACATCCGCACAGTTTATGAAATAAAAGCCTTTGAATATTTTTTCAGACACGTTTAGCTGCTAGATGTTAGTCAGAAACCATTTTTGTTCCTTCTTAATACCAACTGTGTAAAAAAAGTTATTGTTAAAGTGCTTATGATAAGCCGTTGTTTGTTTACTTTACAGCTCTGTCGCGTGTGCACATAAAGCAGCCGATCAATGCCAGCACACACACACACACACACACACATATTATGTAAATCTCGACATGTGAAACTGTTCCTTTATATGTTTTCATCAAAGTTGTTTACAATACTTCTTTATTCACAGAGTTTGTAATGTAGTCAAGTGTTTCTCGCAACTCAATCTACAATTAGAGGGATACAAAGTTAGCTTTAGCTCTACTATAAAAGATTTGGGTGTCATATTAGACAGCAATCTAACTTTTAAAAACCATATATCCCATGTCACAAAAACTGCCTTCTTTCATCTGAGAAATATCGCTAAATTACGAAATATGCTATCCATCTCAGATGCAGAAAAGCTAGTCCATGCTTTTATGACTTCGAGACTGGATTACTGTAATGCTCTATTTGCTGGCTGCCCAGCATCCTCTATTAACAAACTTCAATTAGTACAAAATGCAGCAGCCAGAGTTCTGACCAGGTCTAGAAAATATGATCATATAACCCCAATTTTATCCTCCTTACACTGGCTGCCTGTTAAATTTCGTATTGAATTTAAAATATTACTTCTCACCTATAAAGCTCTAAATAATCTAGCTCCTGTTTATCTAACCAACCTTCTGTCTCGCTACAAACCAACTCGTTCCTTAAGATCTCAAAATTCAGGGCTTCTGGTAGTACCTAGAATAGCAAAATCAAGTAAAGGAGGTCGAGCCTTCTCTTTCATGGCTCCTACACTCTGGAATAGCCTTCCTGATAACGTCCGAGGCTCAGACACACTCTCTCAGTTCAAAACTAGATTAAAGACCTATCTGTTTAGTAAAGCATACACTCAGTGCATCACCTAGCGGGTTCCACACTGGCTTCTACATCTTGCTTATATACACTATGAACAGCAGCTACGCTAATTATTCTCTTTATTCTCTATTTTCACCTGGGGATACTCATCCCGAGGTCCTCAGATTAGGCGGAGTCACTGATTGGATCCAAGACCAGCGCCAAGATGATCCCAAGGATTCCATATCCGGGACCAGGCCATATCCTGAGCTGCTGCTGCGCTGATGGTCGTGGGGAGTGGAGAACATGAGTCTGATTCCAGCGACGCTCCAGGGACAGACGAGTCTTCATTGAGGCCATCTTCCAGCATAAACCACGGCGAATGAAGTTCTGCACAAGACTTTTGGCCAGCGGAGAAATTAAAATGGTCGTGCCCAACTGAGTCTGGTTCTCTCAAGGTTTTTTTTCTTCACTCCCATCAGGTGAAGTTTTTTTTTCCCTCTCCGCTGTCGCCACTGCCTCGCATGGTTCAGGATTGGTAGAGCTGCGCATCGATGAATTTGCTCTTCAGTGTTTGAACTCTCAGTAATGATTAAATCACACTGAACTGAGCTAAACTGAACTGAACTGAACTTAAACACTAAAACCTGAACCACACTGTTCCAGTTACTGAACCACACTGTTCCAGTTACTATGACCATTTATGTGAAGCTGCTTTGACACAATCTACATTGTAAAAGCGCTATACAAATAAAGCTGAATTGAATTGTTTACAAATATAGGAGCAGCAGTTTAGAGCTCATTTCTGGTTAATGATGTCAGAGTTTACTGAAATTTTGGATTGGATGTGTGAATGGTCTTCCAGAAAAATTCCATAATGTCTGAACAGCTTTTGTTTTTATTTACTGGTAGTTTCGGAAATTTTCCAGATATTTACCAGTATCACTTTATAAAAGGGGATTGTGTTTAGAGTTCTGCCAAGATACTTAAATTGATTCACTTCTTCAATAACTTTTTTAATCAACACCTCAAATTTATTCCTTACAGGCCTATTTCCTATAGAGAAGCACATAGAAACTGTTTTCTTGCCACTTGACATTAAATGAGACGGGCTTTACAACATATTTCAAGATGGCTTGAGCTGAGTCAGTTGCTCACCTACCTGACAAGGTGTTTTAGCAGACACGTAGTTGAATGATTGTGAATGGTTACCAAATGTTTCCAACATTGATCATTATGTCCATTTGGCTGGTTTGGAACAAGCCAAGGGTGTGTAAATGATCCCTTCAAGTTCTTGTAAGAAATTAATATTTTCTGAAAGTGAGTGACTTGATTAGACGAGCTCGGAATGGTTTAGCTCCTATTTATTTGACCGATTTATTATCCAATCATAATCCTGTAATGTCTCTCAGGTCATCCATCCAGAGACTATTTTCTTTCTTTGATTTTACAGCAGCTTGATCAACAATAGTGTTTGCTTTATAAGTACAAAAATAACTTGAGTTAAAAAAAAATAACAGATTTTTTTTAACCCAACATGTACACAACAAAAATGCTGGATTTAACTTTGGGTTAAATGTGGACAACCCCA